TTTTATGTTACGGTATATATTATCATTAAATTAAAAACAATAAACATATATATTACATATTTATTATTATCTTTGGTTAATATTGTTAAATTTAAATTATAAATATTATTTTATAAAATATCAAAACAATCAAATAATTTTTGTGCAAATGAAATTATTAAATTAATATTGTAGGTGGAAAACATGAAACACTATTAAAAAAATTGAAAGATAAATTACATAACTTTTAAAAAAAAAGTATCGATCCTTTTTATAAAAAGTATGGACACTTTCAATATAATAGGTAAAAATATGATGTAATAGATAGCGTTTATATAATGTAATAGGTAGCGTTTATATAATGTAATAGGTAGTGCTTATATTGTAAAGTATCTATCCTTTTTATAAAAGTGTCCATACTTTTTTCACTGTGGAAAACATTAATTTAATGTTATCTTTTGAGTGAGTTTTAAGATATCAATTTAGTAATTATATGTATCTAATGATTTATTTTTTATATTACGGTATATATTATCATTAAATTAAAAACAATAAACATATATATTACATATTTATTATTATCTTTGGTTAATATTGTTAAATTTAAATTCGAAATATTATTTTATAAAATATCAAAACAATCAAATAATTTTTTGTGCAAATAAAATTATTAAATTAATATTGTAGGTGGAAAACATGAAACACTGTTAAAAAAATTGAAACATAAATTACATAACTTTAAAAAAAGTACCGATCATTTTTATAAAAAGTATGGACACTTTCAATATAATAGGTAAAAATATGATGTAATAGGTAGCGCTTATATAATATAATAGGTAGCGTTTATATAATGTAATAGGTAGTGCTTATATTGTAAAGTATCTATCCTTTTTATAAAAGTGTTCATACTTTTTTAACTTTGGAAAACATTAATTTAAGGTTATCTTTTGAGTGAGTTTTAAGATATTAATTTAGTAAATATAGGCGTCTAATGATTTATTTTTTATGTTACGGTATATATTATTATTAAATTAAAAACAATAAACATATATATTACATATTTATTATTATCTTTGGTTAATATTGTTAAATTTAAATACTAAATAATATTTTATAAAATATCAAAACAATCAAATAATTTTTTGTGTAAATGAAATTATTAAATTAATATTGTAGGTGGAAAACATGAAATACTATTAAAAAAATTGAAACATAAATTACATAACTTTAAAAAAAGTATCGATTTTTTTTATAAAAAGTATGGACACTTTCAATATAATATGTAAAAATATGATGTAATAGGTAGCGTTTATATAATGTAATATGTAGCGTTTATATAATGTAATAGGTAGTGCTTATATTGTAAAGTATCTATCATTTTTATAATAGTGTCCATACTTTTTTTCACTTAGGAAAATATTAATTTAAGGTTATCTTTTGAGTGAGTTTTAAGATATTAATTTAGTAATTATATGTGTCTAATGATTTATTTTTTACGTTACGGTATATATTATTATTAAATTAAAAACAATAAATATATATATTACATATTTATTATCATCTTTGGTTAATATTGTTAAATTTAAATTCTAAATAATATTTTATAAAATATCAAAACAATCAAATAATTTTTTGTGTAAATGAAATTATTAAATTAATATTGTAGGTGGAAAACATGAAACACTATTAAAAAAAATTGAAACATAAATTACATAACTTTAAAAAAAATATCGATCCTTTTTATAAAAAGGATAATTACTTTACAATATATCAAATAAAAATATGATGTAATAGGTAGCGCTTATATAATGTAATAGGTAGCGCTTATATAATGTAATAGGTAGCGCTTATATTGTAAAGTATCTATCCTTTTTATAGAAGTGTTCATACTTATTTCACTGTGGAAAACATTAATTTAAGGTTATCTTTTGAGAGAGTTTTAAAATATCAATTTAATAAATATATGTATCTAATGATTTATTTTTTATGTTACGGTATATATTATCATTAAATTAAAAACAATAAACATATATATTACATATTTATTATTATCTTTGGTTAATATTGTTAAATTTAAATTCTAAATATTATTTTATAAAATATCAAAACAATCAAATAATTTTTTTGTGCAAATGAAATTATTAAATTAATATTGTAGGTGGAAAACATGAAACACTATGAAAAAATTGAAACATAAATTACATAACTTTAAAAAAGTATCGATCTTTTTTATAAAAAAATACAGACACTTTCAACATATTATAATGTAATAGGTAAATTTGCAATGCTATCGGTATAAATATACCGGTTTACTTATAAAATAGGTCAATATAAGCGCTACCTATTACATTATATAAGCGCTACCTAATATGTTATTGTACTTTATAATATTTTCGGTTAAATAATATAACATAACCGGTCTAAATTTTAACCAGTCACTTGTTTAACCGATCACATCGTATATTAACCGTTTTTAGACGCCGCACCGCAGAACTACCCGAACTTTAGCCTATAAAATTTATGATATTTTAGATTTTCCTTTTTAGTTCATTTTAAGGCTTATCCTTACTCTTATGTGCTATTATTTTTTGGTTTAACAGAACCGTACTCTTCTGTTTCTAAATTATGTTTTGCATTAAAACAAAATCTAGTATACGCAAAAGAAAGAAAAAAATCACAAAAGCTGCTAAAAATCCATCATCAACAATAGCTTGAATCAGTCTTATCTTATTTGAAAATTTTAATACGACAAAAAAATATTATATTTGAGTCGTAGACTCGAAGATAATTCATTTCTAATTTTAACCAATGTAATTAGAGGTTATACTAACGAGCAAAGGATTAAGTTAAACTTGATCAAACTATGGAGCAGAAAATAAATTCAGCCATCCTATATTCATCAAATCAACATTTAACAACTAGAATAGTTAATTGTATCATATGTCCCCAAACTATCATCTTCATTTTAAATTAGTCCTTAAACTTTTACATATTCTAATTTCATCCTCAAACTACGACTCTCATTCTAAATTAGTCATTAAACTTTTGAATATTCTAATTTCATCCCTAAATTATGACCCTTTTTCTTAATTGATCCCCAAACTTTTGAACATTTTAATTTCATCCCCAGACTATGATCTTCATTTTAAATTGCTCTTCAAACATTTTGAACATTCTAATTTCATCCCTAAATTATAACCCTTTTTCTTAATTGATCCCCAAACTTTTGAATACTCCAATTTCTTCCTCAAATTCATCCAAATAAGTAATCTGTTTTAACCATATTTTAGCCTGGATTTTGTTTTTTTAAAACATATAATAATATAATTTAGCCTAACGATTTTATTAACAAGGAATTAGATTATCATATACATGTAGTTTAGGATGAAATTAGAATGTTCACAATGTTTGAAGAGCAATTTAGAATGAAGATCATAGTCTGGGGATGAAATTAAAATGTTCAAAAGTTCGAGGATTAATTTAGAATGATAGTCATAGTTTAAGGATGAAATTAGAATATTTAAAAATTTAAGGAACAATTTAAAAAGGTGACAATTTGAGGACATTTGATGCAATTAATTTAAAACAACAAAGGCATTTGTAGAATTTTTTAACATTCTTATCAAACAAATTCAATACCTTACTTTAATTGTCAATAAAAATTATTAATTAATTTTAACCCTTATAGTCAAATTTAATTATTTTTAATTTTTATATTTGAACAAAATAATAAAAAAATAAAGATGATTTTTTGTTATTGGATATATATATATATATATATATATATATATATATATATATATATATATATATATATATATATATATATATATAAAGAATAATAGGTAGCCCCACATGCGGTAGGACCCAAAGACCTAATCTTAGCTTATCTAGTCACGGCAGAACGGCTGATTGTAACCGCGAATGGGAGTGGAGACTGAATGGTCACATTTTGAAGTCCCCTACTCTTCTTGCTGTCCTCAAATCTTCCCTAAATATCAACATTCCAAATATGTCGAATCTTTTACCTCTCATCCCACTTCCACCCTCGTTTTTGCCTCTCTTTTTTGAAAAAGAAAAAAGAAAAAGAAAATAATGTTCATTATAAATTTTAACACATAAATTAATGGTTCATTTGATGATAAGAGTGTAGACTTAGAGATTGAAACCCAAGCACACAAATATCATGTTATAAATTTTAGGGTAAAATACGCAAATGGTCCCCAATTATAATACGTTATTTTGTTAAGTCTCTCAACTATTAAAAGTTACAAAATAATTTACTGACAATAAAACATCGATTTGTTGAGTTCTTCGACTATTAAAAGTTATAAAATAATCATTTAACTATTCATATGTTATAAACTCATCATTTTCTATTAAAAGTTATAAAATAATCATTTTAATGACGTCTATCGATACGACCGTTGCTTTCAAGCAGTAGTTCGACATCATAATGTCTCAAGCACTTACTCGATGGCATAATGTAAATAGAGAATCAATTTGCAAAATACAACTTAAACGGTTATGGGTTCATATGACTATCATATTCTAGTGAGCATGTTAACATCAAGCTCAAATGACCGCCAATTTTTTTAACAGAGAATAACTAGTTTGAAACATATGAATAGTCGAGTGACTATTTTATAACTTTCAATAGTTATAATCAGGGGTCATTTGTGTACTTTACCCTAAAATTTAACACAATAATTAATGATAAATAATTTTAACATGTATTTCACATTTGTAATATTTAACTGTCTTTTTTTCCCTATATTTCCCCATCTGAAAAGAGTTTTGAGAAACATGTGCTGGTTTGATGCACCATTTTTTTTCTTTTGAAAACAAGCAATGGAAGATGCATCATGTACTTCATGCAACTAAATGCTTTTTACATGGATTTGACGTCGCTCGAAGTCGATCCTTTTCACCTTCTAAACCATAAAATGAAAGATGTCGATACCTTTTACCTCAAACCATAGCAAACGGGAATAAACAAAACAGGTTGCGATTCAGATAATTTTGCGTTCGGATTCCTTTTAGGTCAACAATTTCGAGATTGGACCAGATTCAAATCCGGGCTAAGTCAGATATAAATTCTAAAATCTATGGTTTGTTTTCATGCATTACACAAACCATATCAACGTATTAATTCCCAAGACATAGTCACTTCTCATCTCATATACACACTATTTTTTCATAAGCATTGGAGTGGACGGGTTGGTCAAGTTAGCAGCAATCAGCAAACCTTGCCTGTGTTATCTTAAACTATCTGAAGATTTGTCTTCGGACGTGAAGCCATAACTCGAACAATCTTTTCCTCCTTCAGAATCACAACTGTCCAACAAAGAGATGATCAAAGATACATTTTCAAGTAGTAATCATGAAATGACCAACTAATCATCTATAGTAGAGTCTGGAATATCATACACGATTTGCCGCATAAATTGTCCCTTGACACGAGGTCGCTGTTCTGCCAACCTCTTCCTGCTCTGATATCGTACCTGGGAAACAAGAACCATAGAAGAAGGCTTAGTTTTTATCATAATCTTACATTGACTGAATTCACATTTATGCTATACTCCCCCCAATTATCCATTGATTTATTAAGACAATTTGTGATGGCCATTGAGATATAGTTATCATGCAAACCTTCTTCTTGTTCTACCATAAAGAGAGAAATGAAAAAGTGAATTACCTTCTTCTCAAAACATCTTTCTTTCCTTTTCTGGCGAAATTTGGTTAAGGCGGCCACTCTTTGTGCAACACGATCTTCATCTGCCGCACTACCACCACTTCTACGACTCATTGCACCAGCTGTCCCATTGCCATCATCAATTATTGCATTTTCAGCACTTAAACAAGTTCCAGTCCCATTACGCCCATTGCTGACATAGTTACTCCCCGAGGTACTCCCATTTACACTATAGTTTACAATATCACATTCAGAGGGCCCTTCAAACAAATTGGATGATCCGCATTGTTTAGCAGTTGCAATGATCTTCTCCGAGCTATCATGATCAGCCTGCAAGTTATGTTCCTTCTCAATTTGGCAGAGTTGACGTAGGTACGGAAAATGGTGCTGAAAATGAAATACCTGGCTTGCAGTTCTCAATGGTGAAAGAGAAGTTTTAAGCTCGGTATCATTTACTGTTTCAGTCAACACTTCCTGAGATGAACCATTATCCATTGGTTTGAAGGAAGAAGAGTGAAAGCATTTAAATGCTGAATTGGACCCAGACTTGTCGATCAAAGCTTCAGGCTTTGGGCTAACACATTTTGCAGTAGTTCTCGTATCATTTTTGTTGCTGCTTCTTATTGATGACTGATTCAAAAGAATGCCACTTGAATGAGATGGAAGAGTGCGCAATGCTTCAGTTTTCATTGTAACGGAACTATGATCAAGTGGAGAACAGCTTCCTTTGTTCCGTGTGAGAGCCTGGAACAACAGCTATGAGAATTAGAACTACTCTTTCCATGTTTTTACAGATCTCATATCATTGGCAGTGGGAATAGTAAAGCTATATCCAAGCCATTGATTAAGTGGAAAAGGGAAAATGTTTGGGATTTGAGTGATTAAAACAGAGACATCCCCGATATTTGTTGCCCGAGTGCAATAAACCATACCTTCTTACCAGAAGATGCAGTACTGTACCTGCATATTAAGTAAAGGCAGCAAGTGAAAAGAATGATTTCAAGTTTGATTTTGATGGGCAAAAACAAGAAATGAGCGTTAAAGCCTACAAGTAACATTCTTACTTTGAGAATGCTGACGACTCAGAATGTCTCAAAACATTGTGCCCATTATTTGCAGAATCTTGTCTATCTGATGCTCCTTGTAACAACGTAGGAGTCGGTTCAAGGGAAGGGTTTTCTCCAGATCCACGGGATGCTCCATCTTTGACTTGCAGTATATCGGAAGAGCCACATGGAGCATCAGAAGCTCTGCTTTCAGCTTGTTGAATTGCAGTAATTATATCAGGGGCTCGATCCTTGCCAGTAATGCTCTCATTCTGGTGCTCATACTGTCCGCTGTCAAATTGCTTACAATCTACTTCTTCCAGGTTAGTAGGTGAATTTTCGCATTGATTTCCACATTGCCATTCTTTATTTCTTTTAATTCTTACTTCCGAGTACTTGCCCTCAGCAGCATCAACTGGAAACATAATAACACACGGTAAAATAAAAGGTAAAAGATCTAAATGATCAAAAAGGCATCATAATGCATACCAACTTGTTCATGCTGTTCTTGGCATTCTTTTTTCTCAGTAACCCATGTCCACGAGCTCCCACATTTATCATGCTTCACATGAACCAATTGGGCGCAAGTGCTATCAGGAGCATTGGGCGATCGATTTAAGGAAGACATTGGATGAGAGCTCTCAGGTTCGGCTGCCCTTTTTGTCCATGAACTCTAGGAAGAATACAAACAAATTGAACCATAACTAACAATAACATCCCTCAACTATTCCCAATTAATTAAGTTACTAACAGCTACCTCGGTACCACTCCCATTTTCACTTCCATCACGAACCATCAGATCATCACTGTAGTCATCATGCTCATTGACATCACTACTGGCAGCATAATTCTCAGGCTCATCATTACCTTTTGACTTAATAGACTTTCTTGACAGTGTTCCACTTTCACTCCCACTGCCGCTAGACTAAGAGAGAATGAGAAATTAATCAAATATAGAGGAGATGCTTTTAAAACACATTGCCCTCAATGAACTGAATAACTACGATATAATCAGAGATAAGATAAGCGACACAACTTCCATTGAAAAAAATCAGCTTAAAGAAGTTGAATCAATTGCTTTTAAAGGACTAAAACTTTAGAGGGTAATTTTGTGTGACAGTACTGTATGGGGACGTTAGGATGTAAACTGAACCTCCAAATAGAAACCAGTTTGAAGTTGAAACCCAATCTCAATCATAAGACAACATCACATTTGAAGCAGAGATTAGAGGAACTCACACTGTGGCATCTCCTCCAAAGATGCTGCCAGAGATTTTTAACTTCATTCTTCCGAATAGGTTTTACAAGAAAATCAACTGCACCCTTTGACAAACACTTAAACACTAGACTGATACAATCATGAGATGACATCACTGCAACATATAGAATGTCAGGGGTAATGATAATTATATATACTATGCATAGAAACCAGAGATCATCATTCAAATTAGACCTTGCATCTCCATTAAAGCAGTTTTGAAATACTAGCGAATAAAACTTACTTATCACAGGGATATTCTTTAAAGTTTTGTGGCTCATAATCATGCATAAAAGATCACTTCCTGATAACACAGGCATATCTTCCTCTGACAGGACAATATCAATATGGTTAGTCGGATCTTCTAGGACTCTCCACGCTCTGAGACCATTTGCAACGGCCATAACTGCAAGAAAAAAGAGTACTTAAGCTTGCCTTTTAACTTCATATGCCATCTAATAAACATAAATGTCTATCATAGATAGTGCAACACTGTCAATGGCATACCAAATATCAAAGCAACAGAAAATCACTCATTTAAAAAATTTAATTTAAACTGTGGAAAGTTACAGTGGCTTGCCCATCGATCACCATTTAAAGGTTGAGCCATTCCAATCCATTTGGCCATCCAAATTATGCAAATGTTACTAAAATTTTACTTATTCAAACAAACAATTGATTATTCATTCAGAATGAAAGTAGAAAGTAAATTATCATTTCACCATACTATCCATTCCATTATCTTATAACTCAGGGAAACAATAGCAACATCTCTAAGAGTCTAAGCTATCAACATTCAACCTACCAATAAAAGAAACACAAATACACACCTTCGTAACTGCAATTTTGTAGTAATGCACTAACAACATGACGCGTTGGGTCATCATTTTCCACAAGGAGAACTTTGATGGTCCCAAAAGGGAGATACCTCTCCCAACGTATTACAGAACCTCGAGGTTGTTGTCGAGGAGCTTCTAACACATCACACACCTCAATTGCTCCAAGGGACCCATTACTTACATTTAAAGTCCTCCCAACAATCCTTGATTCGTTTTCCTCAATTGAGCCTGAACCTTGCTCATCCCTCACTACTCCATTCCTTGCTTCTTTCTGCTCGTTAAACATGTTATTGTCTTCCTTTATTGGCAAAACCATCATCATTCACAAACACAGCTCGCATCAACTAATTCGAAAACATCAACCATAAGAATGCAGACAATTGAATAAATCAGATGCTCCTGTTTGGTCATGACAGTATTGACAATAAAAGAAGAAAAAGGAAGATAACTCTACTCCATCCACAACAACGTGCTATAAACCAACAAAGTAAAGAAATTGGTGTGCATCCAAAGAAAAAATTTACATTAATAAATTGGCAGTCCAAGCTCTAAAATATTATACTGAAATTGCTGACAATCTCAGAAAATGAAATCAACTACTGATAACTTGCTTGCCACCACCAGCAATATTCACTGTCTCGTAGCTTCTAAACAAGCAATGAACTCTCTATTCAATCTCTGAACAAATAAAACACTTTAACAGCAAATACCAGATCTAAATGAAAAAAAGAATATCCTTTCTAAAATCACACTTCAAATTACAAAAATATCAAAGAGAAATTTTTTAAAGGAAAAAAGTAGTAGAAATAAAATGAATCCGTGTTTTATTAGAAAACAGAGGAAATGGTAAGCAACAAACAAGTGAAGCTGTTAGCTTTCTCCCGTGATTCATTCACCTTTTTGTCAGTCACCAAGCAAAGCACTGAATTGTATAAAAGAAAAAGACCCTATTAGATTTATTCAAGCAGAAAAACCCCCATTCAATTTTTCTTGAGAAAAAAAATGAAACTTTAGAAGAGTATTGGGAACAAATAGATAAACCAAAAATGAAATGAACATGAAAGTTGATACCTTTACAGCTTATCCATGGATAAGCAAGCCGATATTAGAAACATTCGAACAAGAATTTCCAGATTACTTTTCTTTAGTCTGAGGTTTATTATCAAATCTTTTTATTTAATTTTTTTTCGTTATAACCTGGCTAGTGGAGTTCTCATAATTTCTTTGTTTCCGAAACATATTTATTTTCTAAAATATTATTTAATGAGTAAGGAAAACTGCTCGATTGGTAAAGAATAATATTCGAGATTAAGAAATAAAATTAAAAAAAAAAGGATTTTAGAGAGAAGCGACAGGGAAGATATTATTAAAGGGGGGATATGCTGACGTGTAACAAATGGAGGTGTGGTGCTGTTTCATGTTTACGTGGCAAGTTGCGTGATTACACGTGTCGAATTGTGATCCATCGATGGAATGATGCGTCGGATAAAATCAAAAGCTGGGAGCATAGCGTTGAAGAGCAGAATCAAGTCGACACTCTCAGATCTGGAGAAGGACACGTGGCTGTCTCTAAGGCCCCTTAAAAGGTTCTTGTTTTGCGCGTCCATGGGGAGTGATGGCAAGCCCTAGGCGGAATACGAGGTCGGCTTCCTAAATTGATGAACCCATGTCCAATATTAAAATATAAAGTAAAGTATATAAATGGTATATCGGTTATAAGATATTATTTTTAAAAAATTTTAATTATTAAAAATTATAAAATAGTCACATAAGTGTAGGATATTACTTTGTTGATTCTCTCTATTATTAAAAATTACAAAATATTCACTTAATTATTTATTATATTTAAAAATTGTCATTTTTTTAAAAATTTTAACGGTTATTTGAGTTGACATTAACATATTGAGTAAGATATGATATTAATTTAAGATTATGAGATAAAATTTTATCATATCTCAGTCAACATGTTGAAGTTCAGCTCAAATTGTAATCAATTTTTTAACGAAAAAAAGGATGAATTTGAAACATAATGAATAGTTAGATAATTATTTTATAAATTTTAATAGTCAAGAGACTCAATAAAATAATACATTAGAATTGAGGATCATTTTATAATTTTTAATAGATGTGGATTCAACAAAACAAAACCCTATAATCATGAGACCATTCATGTACTTTACTCCAAAGTATAAACAAAATTTTGCATTTGAGTTAACAAGAAAAAAAATCTAATGTCAAATAAATTTTTTATTATTATTATTAATATGAAGTACAATGTAGTTATTGTTTAAAAATAATTTGATATTAAATACTCACATCTCTTGTATTTTTTATGCTCGAACCTTAAACCTAAAAAAATAATAATAATTTATTTACTATATATTAAGATTGTCTAGTCCGTGCTCATATATACTTGAGACCCCAACGATGAAGATTAGCAATAACCCAAAAACTCGACCAATTTAGTAGTGAATATACAGCTATAAACTCTCAAGTAAAGAAACCCAAAACGGAAAAGAAAATAAAAATGCAGAATTTTGGTTTGCAAAGTAGAAGGAAATCAGGGTATTACCAAACGGTGCCGTAAGCAATGCTTATTCCAGCTAGAAATGATCCTCTGAAGCTGAGAAGCCTTCCTTAGCTATTTCATGTGGCACCTGGTTTCCTTGTCGTGCAATGAATTTGAATCGACAAGAAAGTAAGTTGGCAAAAAGCTTATTTGCATCCCAGATAGACGCGCTTATCTCAAAATAATCCATTTCAGTTTTGTAATTACTAACAAGGAGTTTCCTTGTAAAGCTTGAACAACAGTCAAAGCTTCAGCCGCAAAAACATCAAGTACATGGAATTTTTTGACAGAGATTAATTTTCATATACGGGGAACAAGGCGGGAGCCAACCAACAGTACGTTGATAGGGAGGGAAAAGAAAAGGAACGTTGTAAAACATTGTTTGTAAACCGAAATGCATAGATCGGACACGTATCCTTATGTGGGCCACCAAAGAAGTGCAAAATGGGGCTAAGACATAGTCTAGGAAGCCCAAGAGCCCAATCTCACGAATAGTGGATCATCTTGTTTTCTTCTTAACATGTTTCTCAATATTTTGTCGTGTTTGTAATTTAAAAAAAATACTTTTGAAAGGTAATAATACAGAAACGGGTTTCCAAAATTCTTTTTATTTTTATCTACAAATATAAGAAAACAAAGCTAGCTGGAATATCAAAGATTTTGGGGTTTTCCACTATGGACATTTGAATATGGTCTGATTCACATTAGTTATAATTCTAAATATGTGTGGGCAGGAAGCAATTTGGAGAAAATGCATTGAGAGTCAAACTTCATGCAGCACGAAAGACGTAAGTAGATCAGATATGGATCGACAAAATTTCGTTGACTTTGATGTTGATTTCTTATACTTCTGCCGACAATTAATTACACAAGTATTCAAGGAATAAACAAAGTGTTCTTCGTTATGAGCTTTTCTTTTTGAGAGAAATAATTCTAGAATTTGGGTGGGTTTCCAGAATTATCAGTTTCTTATTTCTCAAAATATGATAAATGCACGTTTCCCATAACTTAATGGTTCACAAGGACAACTGTATTGTCACTTTGGTATTCAAAACTAGAAATCTCATATTAATTTAATGGTTATTAAATTATTTTAAATAATATTCTTAATTATTAAAATTATAAATTGTTATAAAATATTATTTTAACATAATTTAATGATTGTTTAAATTCTCACTCTAATTTATCTCGTGCTATTTTTTATTTAATTTTAAAAAAAGTAATATTGTAGTTAGGTAAGATTCTTAAGCTAGGTGCAGCTTCTGCAACACTTTTGGTCATAACGAAAAAACCTGCTTGGCATCGAAGAACACTGCTCAAGCTAAAAAACAAGTTTAGAAGATAAAAGAGAACTTAGAAGCAGAGAACTTACCTATTGTAGGTGGGATCGAGTTGCTGCAAGAAAAAACTACTTCCTCTCCAGTCACTATAAACGCTGAACTAGGTACTAAGGAACCAGAAAACAAAGAGGAAGAACTATAGTCCCATTCCCCTATCGATGGAACCAGTCATGAAGCTAAAACCGATGGAAAAGATGAGCTTAGCTCAGTCCATACTGTTGTTCAAAAAAACCATTCTGAAAATTATCTCTCTATTCCTGCTCCTAAAGAATCGATCCCAAAGAATAATGGAGAGCCATCTCCTTCTGTAAAACGAGGAAGGGGAAGACCTCCAAAAGAGCAAGAGAAAATAAACCTTGATTCTACTAACATATTCCAAATCCTAAATGAAGTTGAGGAATTCCCTTAGGTAACCGAAGACCTCCCGAAAAAACCTCGTGCATCTTCATTAGGAGTAGCTGTCATAATCAACGACCTCAAGTCAAAAAAGAAATCTAAGGTAGATAAACCAAAGTTAAAAGTTTGTAGTGCTAGTGGAAGTTCATTGATTACCTCTCCCAAATGATTCTTGCTTTCTAGAATGTTAGAGGACTAAACTGTCCTCTAAAGCAAGACAACATTTTAAGAAGAGCTTTACTTAATAAAGTGGATGTTTTATGCTTACTTGAAACTAGAGTGAAAAAATATAAAAGCTCAACAATTCTTAATAGAAAATTTGTTGGTTGGACTGCTCACACTAATTACGATTATGCTTCCAATGGAAGAATTTGGATCCTTTGGAAAAAAGACATCATCTTCTCGGTAATCCAAACCTTTGATCAGTGTATCTCTATCCAGGGCCAGTACCAAAATGTTCCTTTTATCATCACTGTTGTTTATGGAAGCAATGATGGCATTGCTAGAAGGCTCTTATGGCATCAGTTTAAGGATCTTGAAACTAAAATTAGCAATCAACCCTGGATCCTTGGTGGAGATTTTAATATTACTCTCCACCCGAATGAAAGTTTCGATTGTGACATCCTGGGTCCTATTATTTCTTTAGATATAAGAGATTTCCAGGACACTCTTCTTGATCTGGAGCTCTCTGACCATCCTTTCTTTGGCCCTATTCACACTTGGAGCAACAAACAGCATAACACATTCCTTGCTAGGAAGCTTGATCGTGTCTTGATCAATTCAAATTGGGCAAATTTATTTCAGACTTCACATGTTGAGTTCCAAGCTCTAGGAATTTCTGACCACTGCTTTGCAAAAGTTTGGCTAAATAAGGTAACTGAAGTAAACAGACCTAAGCCTTTTAAGTTTTTTAACTATTGGACCCATCACCCCAACTTTCTGGAATAGGTTAAACAAACCTGGTCCAAACCAACCTATGGGAATCCAATGCAGTCTCTCTTCACTAAACTCAAAAGGGTGAAAACTTGTCTAAAGGCTCTTAACAATTCTTCATATAGTGACCTTCCTGCCAGGGTTAATTATAAACGATCTGAACTAGAACTCCAGCAACTTAAGACTCTTCGTGGAGATGATGGCATTGAAAAAGAGCTTCTCCTCTAGAATGAGCTGAAAAATCTTGAGGAAGCTGAAACTCTTTTCTATAGGCAGAAATCTAGAGTCCAATGGCTGAAGGAGTGTGATAAATGCACTAAATTCTTTTACTCCACTGTTGCCCTTAAAAACAAAAGAAACACAATCCGTACCCTCATTGATGAGAAAGGTAACAAGATGGAAACCTTTGATCAAATTTCAACTGAGATCACTAACTTCTTCACTAGTTTACTTGGGAAAGTTGATCCAGCAGTAAAGGGCACGGATCCTAAACTGTTAAAGGACCTTTGTCAGTTTACTTTACCTCCTGAGAAGGTTAATGCCCTTGTTAAGGACGTCACTAAAGAGGTTTTCTTTAGTCAAGGAAACGATAAATCTCCTGGTCCAGACGGTTTCTCTCCATTCTTTTTCAAAAAAACCTGGACTATTATCGAAAGCGACATTATTGTCGCTATTTCTCAATTTTTCAAAGATTTATATCTTCTGCCTGCTTTTAACGCTACTGTCATTGCTTTGATTCCTAAGATCCCTAAACCTAGTAAAATTAAGGATTTTAGACCAATCTCTTGCTGTTCTATTTTCTACAAAGCTATCTCAAAGATACTGGTAAAAAGATTAACTTGTATCATGCCTGAGTTAGTAACTCTTAACCAAACAACTTTTGTAAAAGGTAGAAACATCACAGAAAATACATTACTTGCACAAGAGCTGGTAAGAGGTTACAATAGAAATAATATATCTCCTAGATGCTCTTTGAAAATTGATCTCCACAAGGCTTTTGATTCCCTCAACTGGAGCTTCATCTCTACCATCTTACAGGCTATAGGCCTCCCTACGACTTTCATTTCTTGGATTGAAACTTGCTACACCACATCAAGCTACTCAATCTCCATTAACGGGAGCTTATCTGGATTCTTTAAGGGAGCTCGAGGCTTAAGGCAAGGAGATCCCCTCTCTCCCATTCTCTTTGTTCTCTCCATGAATGTCCTCTCTATCCTCCTAAATTTGGCAGCTGCCAAGGATATTTTCGGATACCACCCTAAGTGCAAAAGAATTAACTTGACCCACTTATCATTCGCAGATGATTTACTCATCTTTTGTAAGGGTTCAGCTGACTCAGTCATCGGTGTCACTAGTGTCCTGGACATTTTTTATGAGATGTCAGGACTCCAAATTAACGCCTATAAAAGTGAATTCCATGCAGCTGGAATGTCCTCGGGTACGATTGAGACTATCAAGCAAGCTACTGGCTTTAAACTAGGCTATTTTCCAGTGCGTTACCTAGGAATTCCGCTGCTCACAAGGAAAATCTATGAAAAAGACTGTGTGATCCTCATCGATAATATCAAATCTAGATTGCACCATTGGTCTAGTAAACTGCTCAGCTACGCTGGGAGACTGGAGCTCATCCGAACTGTGCTATCTTCAATTACCAATTTTTGGTGCAGACAACTCTTCCTGCCTAACTCAATCTTGAAAAAAAATTGAGCAGCTTTGTTCCCACTACTTTTGGAAAGGTTCTGACAAATCAGCAACAGGAGCACGTGTGAGTTGGAGCAAAATTTGCTCCTTGAAATCGGAAGGTGGTCTTGGGATCAAAGACATTAAGACCTGGAATAAAGCTTGTATGTTAGCCTTAATCAAACAAATTCTTGCTGGTGAAGGCTCACTTTGGGTAGCTTGGCTTTACAATTATGTTTTTAAGAACAATGATTTTTGGTCAATTGAAGCTAAACTCAACACAAGCTGGTGTCTCAAAAGACTTCTTAAATTGAGACCAGAGGTGCAAAATTTCCTTCATCCGGGTCCTGTTAATGCAAGCTCGATATGGGACTCCATTCGGTCGAAAAATCAGAAGGTCCCTTGGCATAAACTCGTTTGGTTTTCCCTGCACATTCCAAAACATAGTATGATAACCTGGATGGCTCTACTTGACAGACTACCCACTAAGGATCGTCTCCACCGAATCGGTCTTACTAATGACTGCTCTTGTCTTTTATGTAACTCTGAAGTGGAAACTAGGGATCACCTTTTCTTATTATGCCCTACTGCTGTTTCTCTATGGGAACGCATCTTCTCTTTTTCTGGTTTGCATTTTACAGGCTACCTTTGGGAAGAATTCTTGGAAATGGCGAGCTCAAATTGGAAAGGAAAATCATTGTTATCTACTGTAATGAAGATTGCTTTGAATGCATTGGTTTACTTGCTCTGGGAAGAAAGGAACAGAAGACTGTACCAAGGTCGAACTAGACCTGCTAATGAACTTCTAAAGAATATCAAATCTATTGTTTGTCTTCAACTTAACGGCAGGAAATTCAATAGAGTAGATAATGTGAATCTTACCCTCTACAAACATTAGGGTATTGATGACCACTGATTATTGTATTGTAAATGTTTTGTATTGAACCATGATTGTATTTATAGCTTTTTACTATTTGGATAATAAAATTTTGACTTATCCAAAAAAAAAAGATTCTTATCCATTCGAAGGGTTGACTTAGTTGAGTGTTGGACCAAAAACGTAAGCGAAACACAATTTTGATTTGACTTCCAAAATAAAAGACATCATACTTTCAATAATTTACCACATCCCATTTTTTTCTTTCATTTGGAGGGTTTTTTTTTTCTTTCATTTGAATCATGCTAATTACGAATTCAATTTTGGATTTAATTGATCTAGCCCTTATCAAGTGACGCAATAAATTTAATATTTTTTTTCAATCTTTATAATTTTAAAATTTGGAAATACGATGCTTTTTCTGTAAATTAATTGATTAATTTGATTAAGTGTGCGACCATACGACTTGCCCAGTTCTTGACTATGGGTGGGCCGGTAGTGTCAAAGCTACTTAACAAATTTACAATTAATTTAATAATCAAAGGAAGACTATAGCCTTATAGATGCATGCAATTCAAAGAAATATTATTAATTAATATCACAACACCAAACGCATATTACATGCTCTAAAATAAATGATAAATTTTGGCAATAAATTCTTGAAGATTTAATTATGTTGTCCTTTAAATTTTAAGAAATTTATAAGAAAAAAAATCTATAAATGAGCATAAGAAGAGAGAGAGAAAAGGAAACGGAAGTAGTTCAAAATTCAGCATAAAGTTATGGGGATAATAAGGAACATGAAAGAGGTTTATGTGAAGAAAGAAAAGTGAACTCAACAGTTCCTAAAAGATGATCAAACCATGAATGTCAGCAAATGTCCTAAGCTTATTAATTATTAAAGTTGTGGTGTTGGATAAAAAAATCAAAACTACGGTACAGTCACAATAAATTACTTTATATTGAATCGAACCTTGATTCATATCAAATATTAATTATTTAATTCAATTCATGACATCACAGAAGTGTTCATTATTTAGTAATTCAAAACTTTTTTTTTCCTGATAAATGCAAAGAAAGAGACCATTTCAACCTAGTTTTCTTTTTCGTTTTAGTTCCGAACATTCCCCGACCACTCTAAAGTAAAGCCAGGTGGTGGGGTTAGAAATTCCAGTCAAAATTCAGACATTCAAACAGCAAAAGTAAAACATGGTCCAACACTCTGATTATGGGATGTTGTTCACTGATATCAATTAATGATTATTTTCGTTAGCCGTTCAAGAAGAATATAATAATAATGATGATGATGCATTAACTATGTTAATTTACATAGCGTTGGAAAAAAATTGGTTGGTAGCATCGCTATATACATCAAAAACCCAAAAACCTATACAGGATCTGTAAATGAAAACTAAAATCTCTTCCAAAAGGAAAGAAGAAAAAAAAGGACAAAATGATTAGGCCAGGCCAATACACAAAAATATGAAAAATTGATGACCATTTCAAATATATGATGAATCAGAATCGTAGTTGGTTGGGGTTGGAGCAGGTGTAGTGGAGGTTGAGCTAAGCCCTGGACCAGCTTCTTTCATCTTGCTGGGTGTGGACGACACCATTGAAGTGAGTGATTTGAGTAAACCCTTTATGATTCTCATCTTAACCTTGCCTCTCCTTGGTGGTAGAGTTTGGTTTTGCTTCTTTGTGGGGCTTGAAGCAATGAATTCCATTTGTTTCGATAGATGGGGTTGCAAAACAGAGGAATATACCAATGAAAATACAGATTATGAAGTCTCTCTGCTCACTCAAAAAAAAAAGGTTTTGTTTTCTTCTGTTTTAAGCAGGAAAAAAAAATACAGGGAGAGCTTGCTATTTGATGACCGATCAGTGTTGGAAGATAGGATGATTGGAGTGAAGCTGGCATATATGAAGAGAGCAAAGCCTCTTTGTGGGTCTAAATTGCAGTTTCTTACTTGGGGACCAAGTTTAAGGTTTATGCTGAGTTGGATTTTGACTTGTTAGATGCTTGGGGAGAATGCAATCTGGTGCTTACTGGCACCATTAAATCCGTGGGGACTATGGTTTCATTTTTCTAGAAAATAGATTAGAGTAAAATACAAAAATAATCCCCTAATTATAGCATACTTTTTTTGTTTAGTCCCCGACTATGAAAATTTAACAATTGATCACATGACTTTAAAAAGCTAACAATTTCCCCACTCTCGTTACAAATCAAATTGAAGATAACATTACAGTTACATAAACTGGCATAATAACAAATTCAACCCTAAATTTTACCCTTTGTTTTAATTTGGTCGTAATTCTAAAGAATTTAACCTTAATATTTAAATATTCTACAACTCAATACTCAATATTTCAGTATCCATCAATTTATTAAATTAAAAAACTGTAACTTACCTTTGTTTATCGCCATTTGTTAAACAAAGTAAGCAAAAAAAAATCCCCCCATTTCTTAAAAGTTTGTGATCTTTTATCCATATTTCAATAATCCGATAAATCGTACTTAAGCTATAGTTTATACTTTAATCAAATTAGAGTTCACCAAAACTTAATTTTTCCAGTGAATGTTATTGAATTCTCAGCAAAATTCGTTGTTTTAAAACGTGTTTTGATCTGGGTTTTTTTCTTTATATTTTTCTTTTTCTTTTTTTCCTTTTAATGATGGATGAAAACTGGATTTTATTGAAGAATTGCATAAAAGAGGTGTTAAGAATCTAGAGCACGTTGGTTGTCCATTCTGCAATCTTTTCCCGGAATCGATAAATCATGTTCTATGTCAATGTGACGTTGTTTGGTTAGTTTGGCAAAGATAGTGTAGAATGTGGAGAGTGAATTTAGTTATTCCTTTCAATGTTAATCAGTTAGTGGAGGTTTGGTTTGATCTTCGAATTAGGAAGAGAGTTCGTTCTTTGTGGCATCTCGGTTTCTTTGGACTGCTTTGGGTAATTTGGCATTATAGAAATAAATCAAGGTTTAAAGGAATTGTGTTCTCGGCGGATTAGATTTTCACTAAAGTTTTGATTCACGTCGGTGTCTGGGCGAATTACCTCTGGCCATTGTTGATTCCCTTTGTGCTAGACTTTGTTCGGTGTCCGGAATCTATTGTGTTATGTGAATAATCCTTGCAGTTTTGGTGTCTGTCTTTCTGCTTGGACATGTTAATTATGTCTGGGTTTTAGAAGATATGGTTATGGTCTGCTAGGTGTTTTGTGTTTGTTTTGGTTTTGGATTTTGTTCTTGATCTGGTTTTGGTTATGTTTCTGGCCAAGTCTACAGTTTTTAGTAACATTTGTATTCATGATTTGATGTATAGGCCTCGGTAGTTGAGTTGCACTAAGTGTAGAGGCAACATATGGTGTATTATTTGTTATAAATTGTCCTGCTGTACTATCTCAAAGATCACTCTTTTTCCTCCGAATAGGTTTAGGGAGGTTTTTTAACGAGGGTCTTGGGGTGGTGTATTTTATTGTTTTATCTTAATACAAAGTATCTCGTTTCAAAAAAAAAAACTGGATTTTATTAAGTTTCATTTTATCTGTTTTTTTTCTCTTTGGATCTGAATTCTTGAATTTTTTTTATCAATATAAGACCATGATTTCCATTAATGAAATTTCTGTAAATTGAAGAAATTAGAATTTATAACATTGGAATCTGATTGGTTCTCCCCAACGGACTCATACTTGTAACACCAACCAACAATATACAAAATTGAACATAATCAACGCAAGAATTAGAAAGAAAACGAGATGAAGGATTCTTATAGATATCTAACTCAACAACGATAAGTCACTGGACGATGATGACATTACCGATTTGATCTATAACTATCGCAATTTGAAAGGAGAATAGTTTTGAAGTTAAAACCTAATCAATATAAAGATAAGGGAGAAGAAAATTGCTTAGTTGGCATCAAAATCGAGGGTGAAAAGCCATCGGACGTCGACCACACTAATGATTTGTGTGATGACCATGGAAGATGAAATTTCACTTGAAGTTCAGAAACATTTGTATATATACATGAAACACTCTTAATTCATAAAAATATGAATGAATTATAATAAAATATAAATTTTGAAAAATATTATATTATTATTTTTTTAAACCAATGATTAATTTAATTTTTTTATAATAAGGAGATTCAATAAAAAAAAATACCACATATTGAGAGTCTTATTTTCCCATGTCAACAATTGCTAAATAATTGGAGCTATTTTCAAAAAATGAATAATATAAATGGAGCCCTACATTAACAAGTATCGTGAAACTGAAACTTTTGAAAAGGTAAATTCATCTCCAAAATCTTCTTTGACTCTCACATTATTATTAGTTTTCCTGCAAAGACTTTGACCCTGTTACCTAATCATCTCGAACTTAACAGAGAAACACATTATCTGCCTTTACTTGCCATCGAAGATAAGTAAGAAAAATGGGTAAAGTGACCCTGTTACCCAAAATTTTAATACTATACTTAAACTACTCTAATCCTCCGTCCAATCTAGAGCTTCCGACAACTGTCTGTCACACCATATTATGGGGGTTGGTTTTTCTATTAATATAAATATGGAGTTTAAAGTAAATGTCTGTTTAACTGTGGGTTCAGTCGAAATGTTAGGAAGATCAAGGGTCTTTAAGCGAAAATTTACCATTCTTTGGATTAGGAGATTATAGAATTCACGGGAAAATTCATCTTCTATTTTATGTGATTTTTATTAATTTATTCAAAAAAGTTTAGAACCACAAGTTGATAAGATATTTTGTTGCAAGTTGATAAGAAACAATTTGATTACCCTATGATTTGCCTATTTGACCCGTTAAAGCTTAAACCCGACCCATCAATTTTTTAGCCGCCGAACAGTAAATCGGACACGATCGGTTTGCAATCTCGTTCACCTAACTCTAAGAAGAACTGAAACCATCACCGGTTTGGGCTCAACGACAACCTTGGTGAATTAAATGAATCAGTGGCATCGGCAACAATCTTCTCCTATCCAACAACAACTTAAACAACGCTTCGACAGTGTCGATCGGCCGGAGATGCAACTTAGATCGTGCACCACGTCGTCTCTTGAAAACAAAAAAATGATGATCGAAACAACAACCCAACAGCAGGAGATTAAATAACGAGAGAAATAAAAAGGTTTTCGGGGGTAAGTCCCTCGATTTTCGATAATTTGGGTGCTGGTGGGAAGATATGTGCGATGGAAAGGTTAGAATGGTCTTGAGGAACAACATAAATCGGTTTTGGCACCATCGGATGATCATCGGAGGCAGATCGACGTGTTTTACTTCAATAAAATCTAATGGTTTTCACTATATCTACAACGATCGATGATGTTTTTGGATGATCAGAGGTCGGATTTGTGACGAGTAGCATGAGGCGGTTTGAGCGATGTATTTTATGTCTCGAACGGTGATCGGAGACGGTAGTCGTCACTATGGTCACCAGCGTTCGACTGTCGCCGATGAAGGTTCTTTGTTCACCTTCAGAGCAAAGCTTGAAGGGGGAAAAAGAGAACTGAGAAATGATGGAATCTTCGTGGAAATGAAGCGTGAGATGAAAGAATGGCAGAGTGCACGTGGCTTTGGAAATTGTTGATAAAGTGAGAAAGGGATAATTACAAGGTAAGTCAACCAAGTTTGGTAGAAGCTTAACCTTGTCTTCTAGTTTTCAAATTGTTATGATTATCGCTTAGTGGTTTCAATAAGATCAACAAGTTTTAATTTTTACCAATTGGATCCTCGAATTATTAAATTAGATTATAAACAATTATTTTTATGGCGAGGTGAATTAATTGGATTCAGTTTCTTAGTAGAGATGGTATGGGTTTATGAGAAGGATTTGAAGCTTGAAATCAAAGTTAATAAGATCAAATTTGGGGATAATGAGGTTCTGGCAGCATAGTTGACTTTTTTTGTTGTTGAAAAATGCATGATTTGGGTTTTTTCTATTGTTCGGAGCCCGTTTTCAAGGTCTATTTCGCCAACCTTGAACCCGATAAGTTATTTTTTTAGCATTCGATCTAATTTGTTCTGAGTTTTGCAATTAAGTTATGGATTTGATGTAATTTCTTTTTTCTTGAATCCGATATATTATTGGACGTTGGATTCAAGTTTGAGAGCGATCGAATAGAGTTTGAATGTTCGATTGGTGTACTCGAGAATCAAGTGAATACTTTACTACCCTATGCATGCTTTACGGTACATATTGGCATTGCTAAGTGCATGGACGAATACTTTTCATCTCATCTGTATAGTTAATTATTTCTAAACTCGATTCAAATGCGGTAAAAAGTAAGTAATTGAATAAAACTCTGATAGATCGTATAAGAAATTAGAAGATATAAAAGGAACAATTCTAAATTCCATGATTAACCAATGAAGCGTTTAACCTCATAACCCTTAAAATTTGATTACTCTTTGTTAAAAATTGAAACACAAAATATTTAGATGAGAAATTACGGAATTACACTTGAGAGGTAAAAATAGCCCGGATTGAGAAAGTACCATGATAATTTGTATCTAATCTGATAAATTATTGATTTAACTATTAAGTTCCTATTTTTTTCAGAAGATTTTTGATAAATAGTTCGTAACTTCTGAGAAGACACTAGACCTAGAATTTCTTATTTATGAGCAAGCGCCCGAAGACTAATTTATCAAAAGTACTCTTATGGTCAGAATTGTTTGAAATGATTGAAATAAATAACAATTTGGAATTAAATGGAAAGACTGTACGAAAGGAAATGACTGAAATACCCTTGTACTGTAAAATAACCAAAATTGTAACACCCCCAACCCGTATCCGAGTCCGAGGTGTCACATTGACTTTTCAAAATTCTGTTCTTTAAAAATCCACTAAAATCTTAATTTCATCCTTTAAGAAAATGAGTATTTTACATTACTAATTACAATCAAATTGTTTCTTTAAAACCATCAGAGCATATTCAATTTAAAATCTTATAACTACATGCCAACTAACTCTATAAACAAAATACATATGT